GATCTCAGCCTGCAGGGATCACATTTGGCAGTTGGGCCAGATTTAAAGCCAGAAACCACTGTTTCTTTTACCCATAGATAAACAGTGGCTAATTTTCACTCTTCGTTTATCCTTCTCCCTTCATTTAGCAAACTTGTTTGCTGAAAACCACGGAGGATATGGGCATGTAGTATTCTGGTAACAGTTGTCAAAGCACTGCGCAATAACTTCTTCACATATTTGAGAATGTAGTTATGCTTGCATAGCTGACAAGAAAGAAAATTACCTGGTGTATGAAAATTTAGTGTTTTAAATACTGTTGTTTCATTTCTGGCTATTAGAGCTTTTTGGTCCTGCCAAATTATCTTTAGCCACCTACAGTTAGGAAAAAAAAAAAAATCCAACCCAATCCTCATTAGTTGTTGCAGAATTAATTTTAAAGGCTGTTTCTCCTCTTACTCATAAAAGTGATGGCACTTTTATTTGCTTTTCATAGGAGTCCTCAAAAAGAAGATCGGGTGCCAATGGCCGAGGAATACTCCGAATACAAGCACATGAAAGCCAAAATCAGGCTCTTGGAGGTTCTCATCAGTAAGCATGATATTTCCAAAACGATTTGAAGCAAATGCAATGCCGTGATATTGTTCTCTAGCAAAAAAACCCAAACAAACAAGTAATGAAAAAGAGGAAGTAATTTTACAGGTCTTGGGCTGCTGCACAATTATTTGATACACTGAGATTTTTGATGCACTTTACCAATTATACTAGCTGAGATGAGAGAGGACAGCAATATGCAAGAATATTAAGCACGGGTGAGTGGACTATAGTATATATTTTTTTCCTTTTGAAAAAGCCTTGAAGTGCACTGTGAGAATGTTAGAAATTAAAAGGACAGTGAAGTATTGTAGATCCTCAGTTTGACCTGCTCTTAGTTTTAAAAAGTGTGAGGAAATGCTCTCCAGGTTTTAAGTACATCTTTGTACATGATAATGTACCACATATTTCTTTCCAGAATGAACATGCGCTATAATTAACTATTAATGTTGGTTCTCAGTGTGCTGATTCACTGGAGCAAAAGAAACACGAGCTTAAAACAAATGAAGGAAAAACTCATGAATGTACTCTGTCTTTCAAGACAGTGTTGCCATTCAATTCCAGTAGTTTCAAAGGTGCACGCAAAGAACCAGTGCCAGGATTTGGTCTAAAATTCTGGGAGTAGAGCAAAGGGATGCTGCCTATGCAAAAAAAAAAAAAAAAAAAAAAAAAGGACAGAGCATGACTGCCAAATGGAACTATTAGGTTTTTAGAAATAAGAGAAAGTGTTTGGCAAAAATGAAGTAGATAGATACAGTTTACTGGGAAGAGATAAAACAAATGTACTGGCTGCTCTCCTTTTCACTATGGTTCACAGGACCTGGCTCACGGTACTTAAAATTCAGTAAATAGATCAACTACATGCTAATTTTATTTCTGTATTAAACTTTGCACTTTATTTTGCCTGATGCTATAACATTTGCTTTTCTAACTACCAAAGCTCGTTTAGACGCATGCACTTTGTAAAATGTCAAAGTATTTCTTGTGTTATAAATTGCCACATACATATATTAAAACAAGACTAGATTATTACATTATGCTAAGATATTTTGGATAGATAAAGTACATGGTATATAATTGAGTTGTCACAGTTATCTGATGAGGAACGCTAGACTTCTTGTTTACTAAAAATAAGATTATAAAAAAGATATTTTTCCATTGGAATTATGCATCTTTCTTAACTTTCAGAGTATCACACTTTGTAATATTAAGGAGATTTTTTTCACTACTTGTGATAGATCATTTGTGTGAAAAGTGGACTATTAACAGAAGGATTATCAGAGGGTTTTGTACTAGAAATGAAAGGCAGGGATTCTGGGAAATACCTAGCCCAGATATAAAGGAAGGAAGACTAAAATAAAATAAAAAAAATGGGCTTGAATAAGTTGAATCATGTTTAGTGTTTTGCTTTAACTGTCATTTTGTATTGACCACATAGAATAAGCACCCTGTTTTCTATCTTGGTAAGAAGATTTTCATTTTATAAAGCCTATTATGTACCAACCATGTTTGTATTTATATTGTATGTAATGGCTCAGCATGATTTTGAAGATGTACCCATTTTCAAGTAGTTTGGAGGAAAAAGTATGAACACTAAAAAAGGATTTTTTTATTTCTCAGAGGTTTGTTGTTTCAGTGTACTGACTTAATGATTTGTAACTTAACTTTTATGAATCAGAAATGGTCTCCTTCGTAAATCTGTTTTAATTAAAGTCATCTAGAGCAACAGGAACAGATACAGAGCTATTTGAAGTTTACAAACTACATCTTTGATAAGGGAAAATGATTTCATGACATATGTATACAATTGATATTAAAATGTAATCTATATATTCTATATGATTGTATAATATTTTATACAACAGTACAAATAAAATATTTTTCTATTATATTTATTATGTCGAGACACAGTTTCTGTTTTCAGTTAGCTAATATAAATAACATAAATAACACTGTCAAACAACACGTTGGAAGTGCTGACATTTCTAGGCTCTGAATTGAAATCATGCTGCAATTACAACCTTTCATGCTGTTTGGAGTTATCTCAGTATTTGTTCAGTAGTTAAAATGAATGCATATTTAAACACCATTTATAAGCCGTTATTTTTATTTTGCTAAAGCAGTTTATATAGGATTTTGTTATGTTTGGCAAGAAACAGAAAACAATTTTTGCAGCATCTAGGTATAAATGGTTGCCAGAAAGAAATCCAGGACTTCTAATCATTTAAAGCATCAGGGGAACAGAAAGGAAAGAGGGAGAGAAGAAATACTAAAAACGCTATTGGAGATTTTGAAGACTCATGTTTGCTTTTGGTGACAGCGGCATGTGCATGCTTCTGACAAAAAATGTCTGACTATGAAAATGGGCAATAGAGGTTTGAAGGCTCCTAAGTAACGAGGGAAGTCTTAACGTCCAACACTGATATTGCAGGTCTTGCAGCTGGGATCCTTCTTTGCATTTGCAGTAGACAAGCTCATTAGTTGGTGACCAGTAATTTCTGCAACTGTGCCGAGGGAGAGATCCACAGGATCAGTGTAAATTACTTCCAAAATAACATCCTGGGCATGATGGTAAACCATGACACCGTCTTCTTCATCACAGGTCAGAAATTTATTATCTTTTATATTTAGTTGAGGAAGGCGCTGCTTGCAGAATTCATCTCCTGGTGATCCAACGGGGGCCATAACGAGAATGACGTAGTGGTAGGCTGTGTACATGCAGTAGAAGTCTCCAAAGTACAAGTTAGTGTTTGGGTTGAAGAGTTTTTCAGCTGCAATCTCAAACCTGTATCTTCCATAAGGTGAATCTTGGGGTGGCTTCCCAGTGTTAAACTCAGTGTTGCAGCTAAAGAAGATGCCTTCCAGCTTCCCGCTGATCGGAGAGCCATGGCTGCCACTGTTATCCTTAACAGAGGGCTGCATAGCATTCCCATGATGCTCTCTACAAATGAACGGTATCGTTTATTTTGCAACACATGCTACAGAAAGAAGTGGAAAGTTAGGACGTCATGCTGTTTGGTAACAGGACTGAAGGGACACAAAGGAAAACCGTTAAACTGAGAACTGTGGTTAGTGTCATGAACTTAGGACCAAGAAAATCAAGCGACGCCACACTCAGAGAGAGCTAGAATAACTCCTGCTCAAGGGTAAAATCTGCTTTTCCTGTCTGGCTTCTCTGTGAGCCCTGTGCTTATTATATGTAGGCAAAGAATAGCACAAACAAAAAAGCCCCCAAATCACCAATATCTGTAATTAGCTGATTTGTTCAGCCTTCCATTACAATTCTAACAATGCTCACACTTCAGTTTAATCACATATTAAAAATTGCAAGTCAGTCTCAATATGCTGGATATACTGTTAATGCGTATTTTTAGCATAGGCAGTATATATTTCATGTAGAAAACTGCCAGTGAAAGTTATTTCTGAATGATGTTTTTCAGAGAGCGTATAGGAAGGAATGTACTGTCTGCCATAGTTATTCAAAACCCCCCCCCCCCAAATGATAATTTCAGGTCTAATTTGTCTACTGCTGACTTCAGTCAGAGCAGAGCTGAGCACAGAGCATGAGGGAATTTGGTTAGTTTCCACTTTGGTTGGTATCCAGCTTCTGCAGTCACTAGTCCTAAGGGGAAAAAATGTACAAGACTCACTTTTTTTTTTTTTTTTTTTTTTTTTGCAAGCTGAGCTCAATTTGGTTACGGTGAAAAGAAGCGTTCGATGTAACAAGTAAATTTTTAAAACTCTAAATCCCAAATTGCACTCAGCAGCATTAGGCTGCTAAATTTAGGAGAACAGTCAGTCCCAAACACCCCATCTAATCCTCCTTAGCACCTGAGATTTAACGTCCTGCAGGACATTCCCCAGAACTTGTGCCCCACAGCTCCCTGGAAGTGCTGCAGTGACAGCTTTGGCGCTCTCTGCACCTGCAACCATGTGATACCAGAAAGGGAAACATCCCCTTTTGTAAGTCCTGCAAAACACCAGATTTACTAGGCATCCTTAGAAAATGCCTTTATACACATTGACAGATTAAAAACGCATGAGGCTGTGGGGCTGGAGAGTCTTACATCTCCCTCTTTTTTTTTTTTTTTTTTTTTTTTTTTTGAGGGGGCAATCTAGCCAAGAAAGTCTGTTCTCTCTCTGCTTTTAACTTGAACAGCTCCAGGTAAAATGGTTCTGCATGAGAGAAGGTTTCCCCTGGTTAAAGTGGGAGGTAGCAGTCAAAGCAAACAAATTCAGTGTAAATGTACAAAACGTATCTAAATCAACTCAGTAATATCTCCAACTGTGATTTTTTTTTTTTTTTCATTAATTCTAATCTCCTCAGCAGCATGTCTTAATTTGACTCTAAGATAAATTTCAAAAGTTTCCCGGGCCATTAAAATTCTACATAGTTATTTTCTCAACCCCTGTTTCACAAGACATTGATAGGGCTGGGGGGGTGTGTGTGTACAGACACAACTGGTATTTTATGACTGAAGCCATTACTAGGGAGAAAAAAAATCAGCTTGAATAACCACTGCCTCTGCAACCTAAAAAGTCAGGCTTCTTGCAGTTCCATTTCTGTGGCAAGATACTGACATCCAGTGGCCAATTAGGCTAATTATAGGTCACTCTTCCCAGGGATCTGAGCTGCATTATGGTGCTCCCAGCTGAGGTAAGCAGCAGAGTGACAGGAACGCTACTTACAAGCTCACACTTCAAACGCTACATTTAGGGGTTGCTGCTTTAGCACTGTGATGGTTGCTTGTTTGCCAATGCTACTAAAGCTACTCTATAAGCTTTTCCAAGCTTATCTACTAGTTAGTTACAACACCACAAAAGCCATTGGTAGGCATGGTATGACAAAGAAGATTTCCTAAAAGGAAGCATGCGGTTAGGGATTTTAGCATAACATTCAGAAGGGTGCATTGTGGAAGGACTAGCCCTTGTGACCATATCAGTACATTTCTGATCAGAAAAGGCAACCATCAGACAGTTACAGGTATTCCAGCTTCACACTGACCTGTTAAAACACAGCTTTTTGGCTCTCTAACAAGAGGGAAAACAAACTAGATCCTATTTGTATCAAACCAAGAAAGACCTTAACAGGAGGGAGGGGAAGAGATACAGTGTAATCAATCAGAGTCACATTTGGCAGAACAAGGCCAAACTCACAGCTATAAATACGCCTTCGCGGCAATTTTCAAAGCTCTATGAACACAGAGGCAGGTGCGCTATGATTATTGTAGCTGAAAACAAAACTATATGAGAATCAGAACCACCACAGGCATTTCCCTTCTGTGTTACCTGGCCCAGGATGGCAGCAGAGATTTACAAGGTCCTCAAGGAGCCTCAACAACTGCAATTCATTCTCTACCTCCATTGAGTTTTGCAGCTTTGTCACTATGTGCAATAAAATAATTTTTCCAAAACATGGAAGGGGAAGAGCAAACCCCATGCTCTAGAACATACAAGACACTCCTGCAGTCCAGCAGATACTTCTGACTACAAGGTGAGAACATTTCCAAGGGTGGTGGAGTCTGCTCTTTGGAGTTAGATTCCCTCAAGTATTTTTTTTCTTCACCAGTTTTAAAAACCTCTCAGTTCTAAACAGGTACTAGTGTGACACCCGCATAAAACCTCAATTCTGTGGCACAGCAGCAGCCCCGTCTCTCATTGCATATTAAAGAAGCTCAGTCAGTGCTGTCACTCTTCTGAGACGGTACTGAAAAAAAAGATGTCAACACACTGCTTACCTCTCATCCATGTTCTTCCAACTGTGGAAGGTTACCTCTGCGTGGTGGCTGCTCCTGAGCTTTGACTCCTTCTATTAAAACATCTTTTTTTCTATTGTAATGACGCTTCTGGTTGCATGTGTGAAGGCACACTGGGTCTCCAAAAGGAATAAGGGACCTACCTCCAGCTACCCCATTTATTCATTCCAACTGCAGTGCAGTGTTGTAAAATTGTCTAAACATCATCCCCTCTCTCTCCCCACACAATCTGTCAATTAACATTCGGATTGCAGAACCCCTATTACTGCATTTGGGCATAGAAATGGGGTGGCTGTACGTGGAGAGCAAATACTTGAGATGGAACTCTTATATGCAGGCAAATGCCTATGCATACAGTTGTGCACTCCTACTATTAGACACCTCACTGAATTTCTAGTACAATAGAAGTATTTGGCTACTAAACACTACGTTATGACAACAGACACTTTAATCAGGCTGGAGACCCTGTGAGTGCTTCAGTTTCTGCTTCAAAACACAAACTTTTATTCACTAATGGAAGTGCTGAGTTAAGCAAGGTAGAAGATACTAGTTATATTTTATTTTTTTCTGTTCTTCTGAACTGGCAGTAAAGCATACAGACATTCTGCTCTAGCTTTAGCACAGCTGCCTCCATTTACTTATTTTGATTACTCCCTTAATTTGCCAATTTTGTATATGTTTACTTTCTTACCTGGTATAATCAAAGTATTCTTTGTGCTGATTCCGATAAAAGACAGACAGTTTAAGCATACGGCCTGCAATCACTTCAGCTTTTTCCAATAGCTGTGTTAGGTGAACTTTTGAATAATCTGGAAAGAAAAGACAATCTGCTAGTATGGGGGGCAGGAAAAAACACAATACTCTCCAAAAGCTACACAGATGCACAGACTTAAAATTGGGAACAGAGCCTCGGTAACATACTGCACATCATGCAGCAGCTATACAGAAAATATATATAGCCTAGCACCAGTTTCCAAAGGTGGCAACAGACAAATGGCAGGAACATGCATGTTTGATTCTCCTCATGAATACTCTGTAAGCCTACACCAACTTCGAGCTCAAAATTTCCTGTGTTAGAGCTGGTTTCCTTGTATTTGGGACTGCAGAGGAGCTGAGAACTGCCCCTCTAGCTTATGTCATTTGACAAACTGTTTGCTACTATATACCCGGTTGTGAGCCAATAACAATTCGCATAACTAAAAAAGCTTCCTTAGGACCCAGCCTGAATGGCATCTCAGCCTTCATGGGATTCATAGAGAGCTCGCTTCAGCGCTCAGCTTTCCCACAGGCAGGCACATTGGCACTAGGTAATGAACATCCAAAGGAAGATACTTATAAATCAATGACAGACTAAACTGATCCTTGCGACACAGTGTTGGTGATGCTTGGGTTTTGCAGCATGCAAAGAGAGCAGCAGAGTATCTTAAGCAAGCTGTCTGTTACGGAGCTGCCACTTTGATTGTTCTCTGCAGGTGCTAGTAGCCATCAACAGGCACAAGTGGCCCTGCTCCACTTCGGTTCACCAGTCTCCTTTCTTAGCCTGGGACAAGCAGGGGTGCCAGGCATGGCACTTGGGGGTAGCTGAGTTATTGTGGAACAAAGGGGTAGTCCAGCTGCCCCTCAATGCGCCAAACCCAAGGACATACAAAGCCTAAAGCTAGAATTCCAGTTTCCGGGTGTGACTATTATAAGTCTTCCAGCCTAGTTAGCACTGGTAGATGGCTAACCCACTGAGGCAGCAAAGCTAGCGTTAATTGTATACATTCTGTGATGCCCACTTCCCCGACAATATTACCTGCTGTGCAAAACTCGATGATTTCACTCCACTCAGAAACAACATAATCACCATCAACTTGCTTCGATGCTGTCTGCACTGCTACCGTGTATTCTGTTCTTGGGCTCAGGAACCAGTGCCCGCGAACTGTCATAGGCAAAGGAACAGCTTTGGCCACCAACTTAGTGGGTACATCCTGTTGGAAACAAAAAGACAAAACAACACACAAGTCAGCAGTGCAAACAAACCAATCCACCACCCCCTTCCATTGTTGTTTTTGCAATGTAATCCCCAATCCCTGGCTCTTCTGTGTAAACCGTAGTTACTTCTCACAGCCCATTGGTGCAGCCAAGTTAACAGTGTGGCCAAGGACAATGGTCTAAGGTCTGCTCTAAGACCTACGGGTGATAGTTTGCATGTATGTGTTTACTATTTGTTCCAAGTGACCATAGACTGATACTATTATATATAGCCCAAACATGTAATTCAGACTAGGGCATTTATGCTTAAGTATGTAAACAGAGAAAGACATGCTACTGAGCACCAGGATATCTTAATTTAAGAGCTTGTGCTCTCATTGCCTTTGTTTTCTTTCAGTCAGTGCAACCAAACAAAATTCCTCCTGCCGTCAATCAATCCACTTGCATTGCTGTTGATATCTTCCAAATGAAACTTCAACACCTTGCAGAGTAACTGTGTTTTACATCTATCAAAACACTCTTATGTACAGGAAGAGCCAGAACAAGCCAAACATACAGCTGGATAGTTTGTGCCTGTTATTGTACCTCTTGCTTCCAACCCCCCCACCATTTCAGATACTGTTTTGCTCTTCCAGTGTATCACACCACAGTGCAACAAAGAAGAATAGCTGCTTGTTATTGAAATCCCTAATTTCTACAGTACCAAAGGCTACAGCACAGACCGTCAAGAGGAAGAGAAAAAAAAAAAAAGAACTGGACAGTTTATGCTAGAACTGTGAGTGAAAAGACTCACAGTGGAGTTGAATAATTCTCCACATGGTGTACCCAAGGAGCTGTGATAGAGTGAGAGCGGTATTTAATACTGACTATATATATCACTAATCACAGAATAATAAGATGGCTGCCATATGAAAAGTGGGCATTTTAGATAACATCTATAGCTGTCCACTTATATATACACCAGTCCACAGTCACCCACCTATAAATACTAGCACAGTAGTCCCTTAAGGAAAAAAGAAATAGAAAAGAGACATTTTCTGCTCATGATCTGTAAGCAAGCCCTGAAAGGTGTTTTGGGTTTTTTTTCTTATCTTCTATCATGGAAAAATATCTTTCTTTTATTGTTTTTCTGTCATTCTTCAGTTTCTGCATTAAGAAACTGAAAAATTAGTAGCTTGTAATATTACAAGAACTGAAATGCGATTGACAGATAATCAAGGGTAAGATTTTGTTGTCATGTCTTTTTTGCTAATTCTCATTTAAATCAAATAACAGTTGGGAGAAAACTTCCTCTGTGAAGTATTCAGTCACGTTCTCTGAAATAAATAATATATAATAGATAGAGAAAAATTACAAGGAAAAATAAAAGAAACCCCAAATGCCATTTAAAGCTACCACCCTGGAAATACATTGCAGAGACATCCCACTGGACTGAATTTGCTACTGCTAATGCAGTCAGCAGCTGCTACAGCTACAATCATTAGTCTTCCTGTCGTCTTTTCTTTGGCATGGTAAAAACTGCCTCCACCTGGGTCAGGTCTCTGTGCCCACAACCCAGTGGTGGGTTTTGCCCCATTAATTTTGTCAGTTTTCATGTAACATGAAACAGCCTCGTTGCCCCCCTGCATCAAAGCCTTACCTTCCAGCTGTGTATCAGGAAACTCTTCTAACTGTACTAAAAAGGGGCAGACTACCTAAAACCACATTAAACAGAGGGTTTTATCTCTTGCACAGCTGGGGAGGAGGGGCAGATATGATGTTTTTCATAACTCTAGTCTGTTGTTCTTTTTCTAAGCAAAGACCTTTTTTTTTTTTTTTTAAGGTTGCTATACTGACCTCAGGAAAAAATGCAATTTCTCTGGGGATTCTTCTCTATTTCTTCCTTTTGTCTCTTTTCTGCTCAGCTCTCATTGCTGGCTGAGCCCCCGAAGAAGTGCAAAGGAGGTTACATGCCAGCTCAAGGACAGCCAGGATTCTGGAGTGGCAGATGGCTGCTCCACCACCAGCACCCACCAGACAACTCTAAAGGTACCTAGACAGCAGTAATTTCCAAGAACAACCTGGAAGCACTGAGTAACTAAGCAGCAAGGTATACGAGTCACACTACCTCTCTCCTTTTTGGGAAAAGATCCCTACTTTGCCGTCCCTTTTCATTGCCAAAGCAGCAGCTTTCAATTTGCAGCTTTCTTCCATTTCATCTTATCCTTCCCTTTGCCAGATCTGCTTATAGAACACATTGTGGGAACTCAGCACACCCACGTTCTAGTCCTAGTTTTGCTAAATATCTGAGCCTCATTTCCTATTACATGGTAATATCATACTTCCATATCTTAAAAAAGAGGGGAGGCATGCAAATTGCTTTGAGAAAAAGATAAAGTCTCATTATAATTCTAGTTTTTACATACTACTACCAATACAAACCTCCTCTTTCACAGATATGATGACAATAGTCATAAATAATAAAACTATACGCACCCTAAATATGCTGGATGTACTTTATATATTTGCCAACAGAAAAAGTATTGAGAGGATGAATCATTGATGTATGCTCTCCTGGGTACACAAGGAAACAAACAGCCCCCTTTCCTGAGGTACAGCATCTACCTAACAGGTTTTGTTTATGTGCCGAGTCACTTGCTCACAGCCATGTGAGCAAACTGAGACTTAACACTAACTCTCTACAAGTTAGAAAATAGTTTAAGCTGGTCATCTGGGTTTATCACCTGTGAGAGAGACAGGCATTTGCAGACAGTGATTTACCCTACTCATCCCTAAGGAGGGATGATTTTTTTCCCCTGAAGATGCCCATCTCCTTCCATAGTCTGACTGCTAGATGACTCCTGAGGGTAAGTCCCAATGCTCTTTTTTGTAACGAAGTGGTAGGGCACACTCTGTTCTTTCTAAAAAGCGCTCCTAGAAGTAGCAGTGATATTCTTCGCCTTTATACAACAGCTTTGTTGTATAACAACAAAGCCAATGGATGGGTGAGGGCTGATTCAGTTCCCTCTAGATTCTGGGAGGATTGAGTACCTGATGCTGCAGCTGCCAGGTTATCAGCTCCCTACCCAGCAGGTCTGCTGCTGAGCTCCAGCTGTGAAACTTGTGTAACTTCGTTACAGGGAGGAAGGATGCTTGTCCCTAGCCATACTAGGGTTAGGGCAAATTTTGAATTTGAGCAATTTTTAATTTCTCAACAAAAGCTCATTCTAGAAAGCGTGTTATAATTTACGTAGTACTAAAGGTGCATGAAAGCAAACACGTATGTGCTTTGGCACAAACAGCTGTTAGAGTATTCAGTCTGTGCAGTTCTCTTGCCCACCCTGTCTGTTGTCTGGATTTCCATCATTCTGGCTCGGGAAAAAAACCAAACCAAAACACAACACCCCACAGAAAAAGCTTTACCAGGTCACTAACACAATTAATACCAAGAAATTTTAAATTAATTCTGATAAAACATCCAACTTATTCATCATTTTAATTGACAGACTTTAGTCTCCTGTTCTTACAAAACCAATTACCTCTCTCCTTTGACGAAAAATTTCATCACAGTAAAAAGCTAGGGAATTGCTATGAAAAACAAAATAAATCTAATGTCTTTTCTTTATTACACTACCAATATACTTTTCCCCCCTCTCCATTTTAACACTAGTCTCATCACTGTGATCTAGATTTTGAAGTGTATATAGTGTTTGATCTGCTAGGGTGGCTCTACCTTTTACAAAAATAAATTTTACAACTTTACACCAGTTTGCACATGAATGAGAAAACATGTATATTAAAAAAAATGGAAGAAATTAAAAAAGAATCCATCCCAGTAAGCATTTATATTAGAAGGTATATCTATTCCTGTCATATAAAATGGGAATTCAAATTCAAAAGCTGTCACTCCAAAAGTAATAACAATAAGAAAAAACCAAATATACCCTACTTTATTTGCTATTGCCATTAAAAATGAGTCATAATAAATGCCTGTTATAACATTAAATTTGGTAGTGTTTTGCATGCTGGTAGCAACTGCAGCACCTTGGCCAAACACGTAAAATTCTTGATTTCAAGCAGTAGTAAATGATTTTTCATTACACTTAATACATATGTTACTTCCAACCACATTAAAAAAAAAAGTCAAGCAAGGAAACATTAAAATTATACACCTGCTATTAACAGAAGTCACAGGAAAAATACTCTCACAATAAAAAGACTCAGAAAAATTGGTGGAAATATTTCCTGGTTATCCCACTGGCTTATAAAACAAGAGTAATTTAGGTGTTGATAGAATTAGAGTTCTCATATGTGTCTGGATGGTTATTTGTGCCTTATCTTTTAGAGATATTGCCAACATTTTTTTTAAAATTGCAGATTATTGTGTTTAATCTTCTGTCTCATTCCATGTTTCTCTAGACATCTCAGTATTTCAACTGTTCTGAGGCCAAAGGAAGTTTTGCTGGATTTGATAAGTACAGATTCTGCAATGTATTCAATATGTTCCCGCATCGGTGGCTTGAGGAAAGAGGCCAGATGAATATTCAGGTCACAGTGCTGAACGCTGCAAACTAAAATTGCTGGAAGCCTTCCTAGAAGTGCATTAGAATTTGTGACTCTTCTGTTGAAATTACATGTGTTGCTCTTGTGAGTCTGTCACTGAACAAGGACAGGCACAGAATACATAAATTGTTTAAATAATGATTAAGAACTAGTCAGGAATAAAAATGTCTGTCTCACAATACATTGTTCAGGTTCCAAAATTGTTTTCAAATAAAACAATAAAGGTAATGTTCAGTTTTCTATGAAATGAATGTATTTGTGTGTACACGCACATAGGCTAGAGACAGAGAAGGTATTCAGAGTAAAAAAAAAGGAAAAAAAAATCAGATTAATCAAAACCCACTTTTGCTGGATGTCCAATACCTGTTTCCCATGGTCTGGCATTAAACACTGAGATTCACCTATTTAAAATCAAGTATTTCCACTTTGATTTTAAAATGAAAATTACCTTATGTTTAAATTTGTTGGAATTCTTGTTTTCTTTCTTGTTGAGATCGATGAAGTAATGAGTAATGCGGTCCTTGGATTTAGAATCCATGTCCCAACAAATCTTGAAGGAATCACATGTGATGTTACTTATTTTGATGTTGTGTGGGACTGGAAGTTCCTCCATCTCTGCAATCCCACTATCTTGTGATTTATTCCCTGCATAAAAAAATAAGCATGATTCATTCAGTTGGAATCAGGTCAGAAAGACCTACTAGAAACCTGTTTTCTGTGCTCCAATACAATCACATCTCTGAACAGCCTTTCACAAAGTCTTATAGGTGGTACTCAGAAGCAACTATGAGGTACAATTATGCAAGTCTCAATGTCAGCGAAATATCAGAAAGGGATGAAACTCCTCATGTGAATAAGCATTAATAACATGTAAGTAGGCTGCACAGACTGGCTAATAGTGTGCAGTTCCAGTTCCATCTGAAGCTATCTGCTGCTACAATGTTAAGATGCCAGCAACACCCACAGTTAACATAGTGGCCCTATCCATACCTGTCAGTGAAAGAAATACAAATAGAAATCATATTCATTCTAAACCTATTTTTCAAGCACAAAGTAAAACCAATCTCTTCAAGGTTTATAGATGGTGTATGTATATGCACATATGTATACACATATATAAAATACTGTTTCCTTCGCAATGAAACAAGTAACAGAGATCATTGTGTTGAATCACAGTAAAAGGAACATACAAACCAATTTCATTTTCCAGTATTTATTCTCTCTATTTGCTCAGTTGAGACCCTGCAGTTTTCTTTGGAGGGTTTTTCTAATTTCTCTAAGTGCATATGGTAGAGGAACACATGACCATTGACTCCAAAAAGCATCACAGGTTCTAAAATTAGGTCTTCCCTTAGTTCTCAAGGCAAACTTGTAGAGCATTCCATAAGCATTAAAACTCAGAAACATTAGGGATCTTGCACTACATAAGTCAAAAGTGAATTAAAAAAAAGCAGAAAGATGAGAAAAATGAGTAAAAATAAAAAATAGAGATGATGCAAGAGAAGGAGTAAAGAAACAGCATAAAAAAATCAAATATAGATAAGAATAGAAACAAAGGAGAAAAACAAGGCAAATGTAAAAAAGAGAGGAAAACTCCCAAATTCTGTCCAAATGAAGAAGATAGGAAGCCCGTGCAGAGATGTGAGGCAGCACATTGTCAGAATTAGTTTTATTCACATCTAATTATAGAAGATAGTATTTACACTTCTGTCATAACTGATAAAAAACTGGACACAGAAGGTTAGGCTAGTCAGTAATAATAACAAAAATTTGACTTGGAAAACCTTACGGACATTTCAACCTCTCAACAAACGCTGTCAAAGAATTATACCAACACCTCAATGCAGGAATATTAAGGTTGGCCTGATTGTTCAAAATTCTTCTCATGGATATGTGAAATTCAGTCACAGAGTCTACAAAATCCATAGATACTCAGCTAATAGTCTGAAAAAAGTAATTTTACAGATGATTTCAAGAATCAACAATAAGACTTCTCTATTTTTCTTCCATTTGATGCATTTACATCCAACAGGTTGTCTATTCTTCAAACACCCTATTAGTTGGGGTTTTTTTCATTTTCAACTAATATAAAAGTCAGATGGTGCATCGTCTTGCTCAAAATCCTGCTCTATTTGTGCCATCCACAATGATGGCAGCTGCACTGGCTGCAATAGACTCAGAAATACGAGTCATTACTGAAAGCTTTCTGTTCATGTGAAATACATGGTAAGTTCTTTTTCCAACACGACATTTCAGAAAGCCAGGGAGAAAATGACATTGCTTTCTTTTGTAAGCATTTTGTATTTGAAAAAATGACTGAAAGCTCTACCAGACACACTGAAAAGGCTACATATGATAGCTTTTCCAGGAGCAAGGCTCTGTGTTTAAAGCAGAAGATGGACTGATGCTGCTGAGGTTCTCAGACCACCTGGAGAACTGGATGGACTCAGATCCCAGCACACTAAACAAATGAATAAAGACCTGAAGAGACATGCAGTCAGGAAAACCAAGCCATATATATCCACAATATTTTAATGTGCAACTTCTTTCCTTCAGAAGTGAGCTTCTATACGCTATCCCTATGGGCCTTAGCCATGTTACAAACAGCCAAGCTAGTTTAAGCTTCAGAAGACACGTGTAAAGCAGTAATGACCATTGACAAAAAGTAACAGAGAGGAAAAAAGGTTTTGGAGCACACCAATGACAGTCAAAGAGCAAAAGTGCTTCTGTAAATGGGTATTTTTTTCTGTACAATTCTTGGAATTAATGTCTGGCATATATCTTTAGATGTCTGCACTCCTCACCCTTTTAATTTTTTTGCTTAGGAAGTGAATAAATAGTTTAAGTAAATGTCTAGCAGAAAATCTCCAGGCAATTTTTAGCAACATTTTAATATAAATCTGAGAAAAAGAAACCACTTGCATTACTAAATGCTAAGCTATCCTTCTTTTGTAATGGAACAAAATCCAAAATAAATACTTCTCTGAAATCTTTAAAGCTCTTTGAAAGTGGAAAAAATCATTTTACAGATTTCGAAATACAAACAGAATATGAACAGAATATGAAACAAGTAAAACACCTCACAATCATCACCAGCAAGCACTACTCCAGTTTCCCTTCTATTTAGAATATACAGTATCTATGATATTTGTAATGCACACTTACATTTTGATACATATTTGTGTAGTCCTCAATGTCAAAATCCATTGAGTTGACAGGCAATAACAGGAATTTGATAATGATACATAGTATTAATAAGGATGGTGATGATTGGTATATGGTGACTTTTGAATAGCAATAGGTGTACCATTGCATGGGAACAAGGTAAAAAAGGACAGAGCATGAAAAGCATGTTCTTGGTCTCTTAGATTTGACTGATTTTAGGAACCAAACATGCAGGTGACCAGCTTTGCCCACAGCAGACCCCCTAGCATTCAGGCCACCAAGAAGTTTTGAAGAAACATTCTCTTGTAAAGCACAAGCTCTAAATCAGAATGCAAGTCCTGCAAAAACTAGTGTTTTTCAGTGTTAGGACCGCATTCTGTCCTGAAATGTACTGGAGTATGACATCACAATGTGAGATACAGAGCTTGACATGACCGTACCATAATTAACTAGAAAGAAAGGAAGATGACAGTATAGAGGAGAGTAAGAATATCCTATCCAGTCTGGTAATGTATGTACATCACTTATAACTACTACATTATGCAGAATATTTCCATTAGAGTTTATCAATATTATAAAAGCATTACAACTACTATAATATACAGTTATATAATTATAAGACAAAATAGTAAGACCGGGCAGAATTTTCAACAGCAGAAGGGTAACTTTGAGCTAAACTTGGAAGTCAAGTTTTTAAGAAAATACTACTATCTGCTGTTAAAGTGGGGGTTCAGCTAGGGTCTGATAATATCATCAGCCACTTAAAAATGCCAGCTGCTACAAAAGACTGCTTAGCAGCCTACCTGCTAGTTAAAACCGGAGATTTCAAGTGTGTGGTAAGTGAAATACAGGTGTCATGGAGATCAAAAACCAACAGATATAACTGACTTAAAAGGTAACACATTTGTACCTTGCCTTTATTCCACTTATGCTTTGGTGAATATTTCGAATTGGTTTTCATACTGGAAAGCATGTCCAGTTAAAGCCACTTCTTCTTTATACCAGGATCAATTTAAAGAATAGATCAATATCAGGAAATAGGATGTCTATTAAAAGCAGAAATAGCAGCTGAACTTACTCAAAACCAGCATATATTTGCCCTAAAGGACTCCAAAACTCCAGCTGAAAGGAAGTTACTACTGTTATGGATGTGAAAATAGGTGGAGAAGGCCTTAGGACTGGCTGCTTTCGTATTAGCTGCTTTGCCACTTCATTGAGGTTAAACTCATCTTTCTTTGATGAAGCATCACAATACAGACAAAAATTGAAAACAAAAGTAGCATAGGAAATGTTGCTCTGAACAGCTTCATACCATATTAAAATAGATCAGCCTCCAATTAAAATGGCTATTTAATTTTGCACATTCATGTTGCTTCAACACTGGAAGCCACTGCGGGACTGGATAGAAACGCTGCTTTCAGGTCTCTTTTGGACAGAAACTTATAGAAGAGCTAGTAGTCAAACAAACCTGGTCTCCCCTGCCAAAAAGCTAGGCATGTCATCCCTGTGTGCTGCAGAAACACCTCTGTTTTAACAAAAAAACAGTTCACTTTTACAACAGGCAAAAGGGCCCAGTGATTCTTGACCCATATAATAAGAAGTCAAAGACCACTCATGTGTGCATAGGTCACACTGGAAGCATAAGACTTTAAATTTCTTCAAAGCCAAAGAATAAATACAACACACCAGCTTTACTGAGATCAGCTAGAGAACTGCAAGATTAATGGTTTACGCTCCTATTCACAAGCTTATCTCTCTCTGCCATATCCAGAGTTAAATTTCAAGTTAAATTGTCTAATCAATTTTAAAGCAGTTATGATACTCACTGCTGCAGCTGAGTCAAAATGTTGGCAAATGGGTAACAAACCAATTTTATTTATATACACATAGACACACTTAATTTAGTATCCTCATTATATCTTCTACTTACATAAATTATCACTGAATGGGAAAAATAGGCAGAAAATTCCCATTGAACATTCATGGCTTTCATCTGTCACTACTGGAGACAAATTAAAAGACTTGGAAATTGATAAGTCCACACTGAAAAGATTTGGAAAAAGATTTTTTTTTGTTTAATTTGCCTCGTCACTCAAAACAAGCTGAACCATAACATCTGCAGCAGTGGAAGTATGGTGGAAAAGAACCTTAACACAACCTCTGATTGGTAATTACTGAGCGTTCACAATCACTGAATTTTTATAATTTTAGAATACTTGATATTTTTTTTTCCTTAGTTCTAAAAATGCTGAACTTCACAGCAGGGCAAAGGACTATGTGCCTACTGATTTTTCATTTCACAGACAAACTGTTTATGTTATCCATAAAAGAAATCCTGAAGGGGCTAATTTGTAATCCACCCTCTAAGCATACTTACAGCTCACAGAAGTGAGTTTTATGAAACTAGACCAATAACACATTTCTGGGTTCCTGCGACCTTGCTTATAGAAGTTTTGACTCTAATATTACCTTGGCA